CCTCCTCCTCCCTCTTTCATTCTTTTAGGCGTGCTGAAGGAAGTGAGCGCCAAGTGCGTGGACGGCGCCTCCGTGATCAGCATCTGCGAGTTTGGCGACAGTCAGCTACTCGAGGAGACGAGTAAGGTCTTCAAGAAGGAGAAGGAGATTAAGAAGGGAATCGCCTTTCCCACCTGCATCTCCATCAACAACTGCGTCTGTCACTTTTCACCACTGAAGAGTGACAAGGATGTTACGCTGAAGAATGGTGACATGGTCAAAATGTAAGTGTCGGTGACCTCGTTTTCCCCTCAATTTCCGCTTTTCTGCTGACCACTGTGCTAATTTCACTGTGCTTTTCCCTCTTTTAGCGACCTCGGGGCACACATCGACGGCTTCATGGCACTGGCTGGTCACACTTTGGTTGTGGGTGCATCGGCTGAGAATAAGATCAAGGGACGGCAGGCCGAAGTTTTGCTAGCGGCACATTACGCGGCTGAAGCGGCGCTTCGATTGGTTCAGCCCGGCAATGATAACAATACCGTCACTGACACCGTTCAGAAGGTGGCGGACACTTTCAACTGCAAGCCTATCTCAGGCATGCTCTCCCACGAACTGAAACAGTACCAAATGGACGGCGGCAAGACCATCATTCAAAATCCCACTGACGCCCAGAAAAAGGAGCACGAAAAGTGCGAATTTGCCAAACACGAAGTTTACGCTATTGACGTGCTGATAACAACCGGTGATGGAAAGGTACGTGCTGCGTTTATTTACCATCACACTGGGTAAACTAACAGTTTGCTTCTTTTGAACAGACTCGCGACCTGGACTCAAAGACGACCATTTTCAAAAAGACGGAGGAGATTTACCAACTCAAACTGAAGACATCTCGCGCCCTCTACTCTGAGATTGACAAGAAGTTCGGCAACATGGCCTTCACCCTTCGCTCGCTGGAGAGTGAGCAAAAGGCTCGACTTGGCGTGGTTGAGTGCGTCCAGCACAAGCTCCTGGAGCCTTATGGAGTGCTCTACGATAAGGACACGGAGCTCATTGCCCAGTTCAAGTTTACTGTATTACTGATGCCTTCAGGTTCGCACAAGATCACCGGTCTGCCCTTTGACACTAGCCTCTGCGAGTCGGACATTACCATTCAGGACGAGGCGCTAAAGACCATCCTCAACAAGGGCATCAGCAAGTCGGCCAAGAAGANAGTTTACTGTATTACTGATGCCTTCAGGTTCGCACAAGATCACCGGTCTGCCCTTTGACACTAGCCTCTGCGAGTCGGACATTACCATTCAGGACGAGGCGCTAAAGACCATCCTCAACAAGGGCATCAGCAAGTCGGCCAAGAAGAAGAAAAAGCCCGCCAAATCCGGCCAGGGCGAGGGTGGCGACAAGGAGGCGGCAGCCGAAGAAGCCGGCGCCAAGTCGCCTGCCAAGTAAACACCTCTGATACCTGATGCCATTGTACTTTTTCCTCCTTTTCTCTCTTTTTGTATTGCCTTCATGTTAAGCATGTTGTTTTGCGATTCAGCGAATATAATCAATTAATTTGGAATGAAATAAAAAATGAAATCAGAGCACAGCATCGCTAGCGCGTGCAGTGGGCGCGCTATTTCCATCAGGTGCTTTTGAGCTTGTGCTCAGGGTCGATTTAGAGTCTCGCTGGTGGTGGTGTGAGAGACAGACAGAATCCTCGCGCCTCGAAGCAGCAGCAGCAGCCTGATCAAAGTCCGCCGTACAGTCATGTGCACTTGTACAACAGCAACTGTTGGCGACACGATCACGACCACCGCTGTCAACGCTGTTGTCATCGCAATCTACATCACCACCACCACCACCACCACCACCACAGCATTAGATCCCTCCCACCACGGTAAGACCTGATCCTGAAAAAGCAGCTGTCTTCTTTGTCTTTGTGAATCTCGTTCTCTGTGTCACTGCTGTCGCGCCGACTGCTGTACTTGCACTTTTCGCCAAACTTTAAACTTCTGGTCAACACCAGCACCGGCTTGTCAACCCTATCTACCATGGATCTGCCATCACTCCTTGAACGAAAAGACTTTGCCGTGGAGCTGGCCTACAAGGCCGGCAAGGTTATTCTCGAAGCCAGCGGGCAGATGAAGAGGGTCAATGTGAAGGAGAGCTTCGCCGATCTGGTCACCGAGACGGACAAAGGCGTGGAGAAGATGCTTTTTGAGGAGTTGAAGAAGCGCTTCCCCAATGACCGCTTCATCGGCGAGGAGAGCGCCAACAAGGAGCCGTGGACCCTGGAGCCCACCTGGATCATCGACCCAATAGATGGTACAACCAATTTCGTGCACACCTTTCCCTTCAGCTGCGTCTCCATCGGCCTGACGGTGAACAAGCAGTCCAGCGTGGGCGTCGTGTACAATCCCTCCCTCGACCGACTGTACACTGCCGTCAAGGGCCAGGGCACACAGTTGGTGGAGGGGAAGAAGGAGCCGGTGACACTGCGCGTTCGCGACTGTCCCTCCCTCAGCGAGGCCCTGGTGATGAGCGAGTTTGGCAGCCAGCGAGACGACGCGAAGAAGGAGGCCGTCTTTCGGAACCTGGAGGCCATCGGCTGGAAGTGCCACGGCGTCCGCTCTCTGGGCACGGCGGCCATCAACCTGTGCTCCGTTGCCAGCGGCCACGCCGACGCCTACTACGAGTTCGGCCTGCATATCTGGGACATGGCGGCCGCGGCGTTGATTCTCACCGAGGCAGGCGGCTACGTCTGCGACACCAAGGGCGGCCCGCTGGACATGCAAAGTCGACGCATTCTGGCAGCCAGCAGTGAGAAGCTGGCCAATGAGATCAGCGAGACGCTGCTCATTCACCTCGAAATGGAGCGAGACTGAACACCACCACCAAACGGAGAGAGATCCCACTGTTCTTATCACGCAGTTATCCAAAAACTTTGAGTTGTGATCAACCTCTGGTCCGCAATATAGTATTCTTAGGCGCTCACACTAACACAGATGTTTTACCTATCAAGCTGTTATCACCGCCACCGCTTGATTGTTACCTAGCTTTTTGTTGTTCTTTTTTCTCCAATAAACTCACTATCTCTGCTTTTTGCTTTAGATTTGCATGCATCCAATGTGATCTCTCATTGAAGGACCCAAATAGAAGTCGGAAAATGGAAGACCGGCCTAGCACCACCATCAACTTTGACACTGAAAAGCGCCCGTTTGTGCTGCCCGCCGAGGACGCCCCGCTGAACGCCTGGCCCTGCGCCCACTGGACCCTGGACGAGTGGGCCGAGCAGTTGGGCGAAGTGCGCTTCAAGTTTCGCGTTCACCCGCGGAACAGCTGCCAACGACCCGACGTCCACTGGGAGAACGAAGCCGTCAGCTACGTGGACGCCACTGTTGCACACTTGCTCGCACATGTACGACCAGGGGAAAGAGGAGACGGGACAGAGAGACAGGAAGACGGCAGGGACACTGCTGGAACATCAACAGCAGCAGCAGCAGAGGTAGCAACGTCAGCGACGAGCGCTGACGCAAATCCGTTTGCAGCATTCCCACTGGAGCAGTACTGCTTCTACAGTGGCTACAACTACATGCACGAATTGTCCCAGTGTGCACTGCTCGACGCCGTTCGCTGGCGGGACACTGCCGGTGGCCTGCTGATGGAGGAGGAGGAGGTGAAGAACGATGGCAGGAAGAGCACACTCTGGCTGGGCACCAGTGGCGCCTATACACCCGCTCACATCGACACCTACGGCTACAACTTTGTGGCACAGCTGCAGGGCAGGTAGGAATATACACACGCAGACAGCTCGGTCGCTGCTGTACATCACTTTCCCGAAGTGGATGATGATCGCTCCATTTTGCTCCGCTGCCATTCTCTCTCACTCTCATTTAGCACTTGTTCTATTTAAAGCTCTCCAAGTAGAAGAGAGTGCAGCGGTGATGATGGTCGTCAATGCGCCAATTGAGTTCATTATGTGACCGCTTTCACTGAAATCACGGTCAACTGGAGAACTGGCCGCCTCTCGAAGTAGATTTGTAGGCTTTGCTCGGGCGGCGGGCATTGTGTCAATGGCGCGCGGTGTGCGCGAGGCCGACGGCCAATGAGAGCGAGCAGTGCATGGCTTACCTCGTACAGGCACACACACAGACAAGAGTAGCTCACTCGCTCGCTCATTCACTCATTCGCTCACACTCGATCCGCTCAGCTCGTCGAATGTCGGTCAAGAGCACACGGGCGTTTTGCGGCCGCCGTCGTCGCCGATCGCTGCTGCCTTTGCTGCCTCTGCTATGACTCAATGCCGAAGTGCCATGTGCGATGTGAAGTGAACTGTCTCCACACCAGTGGGACACCTTGATTCGCTCATGTCAGTGTCTCAGACTGCAGCAGCAGCAGCACTGAATCCCTTCAGTCGAACAATCGCTTCAGCACAGTCTGCTGGCACATTGAGCACATGGCTTGTGTGTGTGTGCGTCTGCATGAGATGTGTCCAATGGTGCGATGATTCGAGCGCAAGGTGACACAGACAGACAGACAAACAGGGGAATACTTGGCCGATGCATTGTCGATGCTCACTTGCAATGGGCTCACTTCACTGGACTCTGTCACACCGATGACCATGTTACGATGTGACGATCTGTGTGTGTGTGCATTGGCCTCTGCGCCCATTCGCCACTTAAGGGGCAGCCGCTCATCTCTCTCATCGTCGATCGATCACACACACTGACCATTGTCTTCCCTCTACAGGAAACGTTGGATTCTCTTCCCTCCCGCCGACACCGCCCACCTCTATCCCGTTCGCATTCCATTTGAAGAGTCGAGCGTCTTCAGTCAGGTCAACTTCAAGTGCATCGACTTGCTCCAATTTCCACTCTTGCGACACTGCACGCCGCACGTGCTGGAGCTGAAGGCGGGCGAGGTGCTCTTTGTTCCTCGGCACTGGTGGCACTTTGTCGAGAATGTCGATGAGGATGATGATGGTCAGGAGAGTGGTGGCGATCAGATGCATCAGCAGACGGTCAGCATCTCAATTAACATGTGGGTCACTGGAGATGAGCACGAGAACTCACTCTCAGAAGGTCTGGTGCAGTTTCTGGCACGACCACTGCTGGAGGCCTACGGTGATGCCAGCTGGCTGAACCTTGGCGCTGACCTGTTATCTGCACCCGAAGCTGGTCGCATTCTGAAGGCACTGATCAATATCAAACAAAATGGAAATGTAGAAAGCGATGAAATGCCCGAAAAGGAGGCAAAAAGACCGAGGACGTTTCTAAACCGACGACTTTTGTCTCCATGCAAATTGGAGGACATAGGAGTGCAAGCGGAGAATACGAGCAACGATGGTCATCTCAGTCAGCCTGATGAAAAGCAAATTGACCTGAAAGACATTGTCAACTGCATCCTCGATCCCGAAGTGATTGACCTGATCAAGAGCAAACTGCGACGCTGCGCCAAAGCAGCATCATCACCTCAGCAGTGAACCACCTCTCCCACTGTGATCAGTGGATCGCCCAAACATGATTTGTCTTGTCAATAAATCGATCTGTCTGCCAGTCAGTCAGTCAGACATTGAGACTGTTTGTCTGATCTGCCTGTCCAAGTTCAATGTCATCGGAGTAGTAGTTGTTTCAGCAGATTGCACGTGTGCTCTTGAGCTAGCGCGCGCGAGCTTCATAGCAGTCAGCGCCACGCTCTCTGTGGAGGGAAAGCGCCTTCTGCCTCTGCCGCTGCCTTTCAGTACAGATGATTTCACAAGCGCAGCTGTTTTGTTGTTTTACCTGTGCTGCTGCTACTGCTGCGCCTGTTGCCTTGTAAACTCGCTGTACAGCTACCCATTTGGATGTGTGTGTGTTTGGATCAGCCCGATCCAGAAAGACCACCGCCTGCACCAGCCCCTCCCTCCATCCGTCCGCTAGAAGATGTCCGAAGACATCCGACGAGAGCTGGTTTTTACCATCCTCCGACTGGGCCTGGTGGCCACGGCCTCCTACTTTACCGTCAAGTGGATGATGAGTGCAATCGACCCGACGAGGAAGCAGAAGAACAAGGCCAAGGAAAGGGTAAGTTCACGTCAGCAGTCTTTCCAGTTACCTCTGTTTACTTACTGGTTTGTTTTGGTTTGTCAGGCGGAAGCAACCCTAAAGCGACTGGGCATTACCGGCCTGAAGACGCTGACCGAGTACGAGCTCACCATCGCCTCTCAGCTGGTGCATCCCGATGAAATTGAAATCAGCTGGGATGACATTGCCGGTCTGGATGACATTATCGACGAGCTGAAGGCCACCGTGATACTGCCCATCAAGGTGCCCAACCTGTACAACTATTCCAAGCTACACGAGGCGCCCAAGGGCGTCCTCCTCTACGGCCCACCGGGAGTGGGGAAAACCATGGTGGCGAAAGCAACTGCCAAGGAGGCAGGTGCAAGGTTAGTGTGTAGATTTACAGCAGCACCAGTGGAGATTTCCCTTGTAACAGACGTTTTAAATTGTAGATTTATCAACTTGGACATTTCCGCGTTAACCGACAAGTGGTACGGCGAATCTCAAAAGCTGGCGGCGGCAGTGTTTACCTTGGCCATCAAAATTCAGCCTTGTATAATCTTTATTGATGAAATCGACACGTTTCTGCGTAAGCGCGAGACACATGACCACGAGGCGACTTCGATGATAAAGGCACAGTTTATGGTCCTCTGGGATGGCCTGATTACCAACAAGAACTGCACTGTAGTGGTGATGGGCGCCACCAACCGACCACATGACGTTGACTTTGCCATTCGCCGCCGAATGCCGGCCACCTTCAACATTGGCCTTCCCTCGCATGAGAAACGAGTGCAAATACTTAAGCTCATTCTGAAGAATGAAACACTGGACGGTGATGTCGACCTGGAAAGCCTCTCACTGGCTACGGAGAACTTTAGCGGCAGCGACCTGAAGGAACTGTGTCGTCTGGCGGCGATGCTGCGTGTGAAGGAGATCACCGCCAACTACGCGGAACTCATCAGCACCTCTAACACCGACAGCCTCTTTGACACACTGCGGCCCATCAACATGAAAGACTTTACCAATGCCCTTGATAAGATCAAACGCATGAAAGTCAACGGAACTGAGCAGTTTATTGACAACTTTAACTTTGACTGAGGTGCAAAGTGAGATCCTATTCTCCACTGTTTGCTGCTCTGTCCACCACGTGAGTCTCCGGTAGTGGTTGCAGGCAGTCTCACCACATCAGAAAAGATTAGTCAGTTTGTTGCCCAGCTCAGTTTCCCCTTTTCTCAAAGCACAATGGACGGTGTTATTGATACTTTTTTACCATTAGAGAAAAGACTATTTTTTGTATAGGATTTATTACCATTGTTTTATTAGGCGCTCAGGTTTACCCTAATTGTCAGTATGTGTGTGTGTGCGCGCGCGTATGTGTACGCCACTTTGCACCTTAATGATGTTCAATAAAGTGCAGCGTGTTTTCTTACTTGCAGTATGTTCGCACAGATTATACACAGCCACAGCAGCAGCTAAGCAGCAGCGACAGACGTTAAGACATGCACACGTACAATCATTGAAGGAGTCGTCATTGCGATGGTCGAGGCCACAGCCGTCTCCCACAAGGCTGCCAAAGTGCATTATGCCAATGCATCGACAGCTGTGGCGGCGACGGCGGCAGTATCCTTGACATTGGACAGTGGAGTGCTCAATTGGATAGCCTCGATGTGCTCGCGTGCCACTGCTTTTGCAGGTGCGCTGTGAAACACTGAAAGGCTTCAGTGGTGACAGTGCTCTTCAGTGACTAGTGCTACTGCTGCTGATCGTGGTGCTGCCAGTGAATGAATGAAGTGTGTGCAAATGAAGCAGAGCGACAAATGAAACAGCACTGGTCAGCTGTGGTGACTGCCATTACCAGCACGTTCGGTGGTGGTGATGATGATGATGATGGTTGTGGTGGTGGTGTCCTCGATGTCCAGTGCAAATCCATGGCGCCCGTTAGCTTACTCTNATCGTGGTGCTGCCAGTGAATGAATGAAGTGTGTGCAAATGAAGCAGAGCGACAAATGAAACAGCACTGGTCAGCTGTGGTGACTGCCATTACCAGCACGTTCGGTGGTGGTGGTGATGATGATGATGGTTGTGGTGGTGGTGTCCTCGATGTCCAGTGCAAATCCATGGCGCCCGTTAGCTTACTCTCTCTCTCTCTTTCTTTCTCTGTCTGTGCCCTCTCAGCCCATCAAATCGGGCCACTAGCGCGACATCAATTTCACTGGTGGCTAAAAATAATCTCCTCTCGTTCTCTCCGAAATGGTGCCCGCGATCTGGCGAACACGGCCACAATGGGCCATCCCGATCGAGCACCGATTGGTGTCACTTTCTACGGCCACACTACTACTGCAGCAGCACCAATGCGATCTAATCGTCCTCTTTGCTCTCACTCTTGCCTCACTCAAACTCAGTCATTCAAGCCAACTACTCGTATCACTCAACTTTTCCGCCACCGCCGCCGTCCGTTTGCAGACAACTCTTGCCAACCACTGCAGGGCTATGTGCTCCAATTGCTGTGCTCTCTGTCCAGGCCAGGAGCTCAATTAACGGGCTAATTTCTGCCGTTGTTGTTGTTGTGGTAGTGGTGCTCACACCAGCACACAATTGCACCTCCTGTCTGGCTGCCCAGGGCAGGAGGACAGATTATGCATGATACCTCTCTCGGTGAAAAAAGTGTTCAGCGGCGAGGACACCGGCACCTTTGCTCCCTTAACCGTAGCACGCGCGCCAATTGACTAGATGGCGGGTAGTGAAGTCGCCTTAGTGAGGTCGGTAACCGCACTAGTCAATTGATCAGAGGGTGAGGGAAAAGGGGTGCAGAGGGGCGACTTTCGTTGTGCTCGTATCGGGTCTGCTCAGGTCGGACCAGGGGCACAGAGGGCAGCAGCACACGTGGTCGTTGGAAGAGCTGGTGCTCAATGCTACTTCATGAGGAAAGAGAGAGAGAGACACATTGTCAGTGCTCTGGCGCCCTGTCTGTTCAAGTGGCTATATTTGGCGCTGACTTGCTCTGACGGCCACTTGATTCTTTGTGCCGCCGTCGAAAGGCAGTGCCACTGACGGCGGCGGCGGCGGTGGTTGATCACGCAGAGACGGAATTAGATTCAGGTTAGATGCGATTGAAGAGAGAGCTGGGAGCACTCTGCACCGACAGAAAGAGGCTGCCAGGCAGTAGCAGCAGTCACGGGAATTTAGAGCTTCGATGATAGCGGACAGCTGCAGCTAAAGGGAAGGGAAGGAGGCAGTGGCGAGAGAAAGGCGAGCACAGCGGGGGAAAGATATGCAGACGAGCAAGAGAGAGAAAGAAAGAGAAAGAAATGAGGAAAAGAGGGAAAGAGTGCCTCCGAGATGGCCTCTCTCATTTTTGGGCGCCGTACGTGTCGCGCGCGTCACAATCGCCCAATTGGTGAGCATCCATCAGCTTCCCCCACCAAAAGTCTGACGAGGGATGCTCCGACAAAAAATGAGTGAGAGAAACGACTGAGTCACACAGCATCTCTGGTGACTCTGCAGACGTGTGCCTGTTTTTACTGAAAAACGGTGCTGAGGAGCAGCAGAGATTGCCCTGACATCGATTGACAATGCTTCTGCTACTTCTGCTGATGCCGCTGCTGCTTCTGATGATGATGATGTCTGCAGTGAGGGAAAATCATGCGAGATCAGCGTTGTGGTCAGCGCACTGTAAAGGTGAGCCGAGGTGAGAGATGAGCACTGGGTGGCAATGGAGCCAATCGAGCCATCAGCACCTGTCGCCGAACACACTTGCAGACGACACCACCACCACAGCCACTGCGACCCTCCACTCTTATGTGCACTTCACTTGGGCTGTGCACTTACTTCTACACTTCTACACTGGCTCACTCACTGGCTCACTCACAGGCTCACACTTCCTGCTCCTTGACTTGAGTTGGACGGCGACGGCGTCGGTGACAGCCTTCGCGACACGAGCTGAGGACACAGGAAAGATATGAATGAGTGAAGTGGTGCTGCTGCTGCTGCTATTGCAGTTTATATATTGGAGTATTAGTGGCCAATTTGTCCTCGACACGACACGGCTAATGAATGCCACTGTGTGTGTGAGTACTGTGATTGCTGCAGACAGCAGCAGCTTCTACAACTCTGCCGCTGACAGATGCTGATGCTGCTGCTGATCTGCAGCTGCCCCCGCTGCGTTAGCCATCACCAGACACCTCTGGTGATCACCACCAGAAAGAGTGCTAAATAACGGGCCATTAGAAGCGATGATCAGGGGCGACCAACGACGATCAACCCTGACGACAGATGCATCGATGGAGACGCATCGACCGGTAGGCAACTGTGTGTGTGTGTGTGTGTGTGTGTGTGTGTGTGTGTGTGTGTGTGCAGGCGACAGTCCTCTGATCGGCGACTTTTCCTGGAGGTGATGTGCCCAATACAGCAGAGAGAAGCGACAGTGCTCTGAGTACGGCGGCTGCGATGGACTGTCACTGCCACCACCACCAACCAGGAACTAGCCGGTTGCTGCTGCTGCTGCAATGAAGAGAGGAGTTGCAGCAACGGCGACGGCTGCTACAGCTACGCCAACAGCGAAGAGGAAGTGTGAAGGCAACTTGCTCTCTGACTCTGAGTGAGTTAGCCTGGCTAGGAGGGCAAACTTCTCCTTCACTCTTTGCCAGCTAGTGAATGCGTCCAGAACGAACAGACGAACGAACAGAATGTGCTGTGGTGGTCGTCGCTGCTTCACTTCTACTGCTTCTACTGAAGAAGAATAAGCGACGGCACCGATGGCGCCACTCAAAGTGCGGAGGCTATCGGCAACGACGACCAGCACTAACTCACTCGCTCGCATACTGTCGCCCTGTCTTGGTATTCCTTTCAATCAATGGTGCACTGGCAAGCAGCAATAGTAGACTTTCCTTAGGAGGAGACAATCAAGTGCTAATGCTCCTACTGCTGCTGCCCAGGAAGGGATGGCGAGGGCGATCGAATGAAGCAGTGTCCTTCTTGCCAGTTGTCCTCTGCTCAGCCTACAGCAGCTACAGCCATCACTGGTAGAAGAAGACCGCAATGGGCTGTGATGGACAGTATTGCGGCTGATTCTAATACTGCTGCAGCCGCGGCGGTGGCCTCAAAAGACCAAAGAGGGCCAAAGAGGGCACACGGGGCAAAAAGGTGAGAGGAGGTCGTCGTCGCCGCCGTCATCGGAGAGAGAGAGGGTCGGCAGAGAAGGTGACCGCTGCGCCAGGGTCGGCGGTGGTCGTCTCGGTCGCACGAGGAGTTCATGTCCTCGTTCCAAGGACAAGGACCCCGTCAGAGCAGTGCGGTGGTGCCGGACGCACAATAGTGCCATGTGTGCTGGCCTTGGCCGGCCACTCACTGAGGTGCAGCAGCAGCGACGGCGGTGAGCAACAGCGCCGACTCTGGTGGTGGTAGTGGTGGGAATGCCCTCGTTGTCTCTCTCTCTCTCCTTCTCCTTTGCTGACACTGAGCTCGGCGAGGTCACCAGAGATCGAGCAAGAGAGCGAGCCAGCGCGAGAGGAGCGCCAGCAAGAAGAAAGCACAGGCAGAAAGATAGAGAAGTTCACGGGGGCCGGGAAGCGGCGGCGGTTCCAGCGAACACAGGCAGACGATGGCAGAAGCGGGACGGCCACTAGCACTTCCAGTGAAGAGCACCACCATCAGCACGACCACTACTACTGGCAGACCACAGCAGTCAACTCCTGCGCTTATTTATCACCACTGCCCCTTCCCGCGAACAGGCACTCCAACCTTTGACCTCGAGCAGCACAGGCAGAGAGAGTGCGCGAGCGAGCGAGCAGAGTGCTCGATTGCTCTCATTGGCAAAGTGGCACACCAATTAAGGAATGATCGACTTGCCTGTGATGCTGCGCGCCTGCACTTATTTAGTTCAGGGATAGAGCGCCCGGCACTAAACTGCTGCTCTTTAGGCTTCGGCTGCGACCACTGGTGAACAGACGGCAGCGAACAGACGGCCACTGAAACTGCCCATGTCATGTCACCGCACTCATTGTGGAGGTTGTGGACTTTAACTTAGGGCTCTGCTGGTGGTGGTGGTGATTGGAAATCTCTGTTTGCCTGGTCAGGTCACAGTGCTGCCGGCTCAGCGGCGGCAATCCACGAAGTACGGCGGGCGCCACTTGCTCGTGCGACCTTTCTGCTCTGCGACTGCGTCGCCAGCCAGTCGCCTTCTTTCTTTTTGCCTCTATCAGCAGCATGAGCAATTGAGCACTGAGCAATTAAAAGAGGACATACTCTCATTTATACTCCCACCAGCAATTTACCCTGGCCAGTGAAGTTATTGCTGTGGCTAGTGCCGGTTCAAGGACGGTGCATTGGAGTGGTAGTGATTGGCCAGTGGGCCGCAAAAAGCAGCGCTTTTGTTTGTGGAGGAAAAGAGCACGCATCCACTTTGGGCGCCACTGTCCACCGTAGAGGCAGGGCAGGCAGGCAGGCGATGGCGCCCTGCATCCACAAACAACCACACAGACAAACACTCCATTCCAGCGCCCAAAACGGGTGAATCTTGACGGCCATTGGTGAGCATCTGGCCTTGTACCAAGTTTGAATCATCAACTAGCAACAGAAACAATCCCTTACATGCTGAACTGGGCCCAGATACTCTCTGCCAAAGTTGGTTGTTGCCAATCGCTCTGAAAGTGGCTGTGTGCTTGTGCTTGTGCGTGCTGCCACCCCAGTCCTTGGCGGACGACAGCAGTGGCAGCAGTGACCGCTGAGCGAGCACCCCGAAGTGGCAGAAGCATAGCAGCACTGTCGACCGGAGTGACTGGAGCTCACTCTGCGATCTCCTCCTCGCAGACTCTGAAAGACTCATGACGTTGAGCCTCTGTCGTTCTCTTTCACTCGCTGCAAGACAAAAGTGTGGACACAGCACTAGCGCTCTCAACGGCGGCTCAGAGTTCTCCTTCTTTCTTCTTTTCCAGCCAGCAAACGAGCCAGCCAGTCAGCCTGCCACTAACTTACGTTCATCTGTGTTGCCTTTTCGCCACAACGCAGTTCTCTCGTTTCTATTTCCTACTCTTACGATTCAGTTCTTGGATTCCTCGGAAGCACTTCAACAACAGTGATATTCACCTCGGCGGTCCAGCCCGTAGCTGCGATCCGAAGACGTAATTTCTTCCACTACTCCTCTTCCACCTGATCGCCGTAATTGCGAGGCCATGAGTACTAGCAGTAGTAGTACGAGCAGCAGCAGCAGCGGCAACGCCATGACCGTCTCCAGGGCCCCCTCACCGCCCCTCAATGTGGAGGCGAACACGCCCGTAGCGGAGAGCTGGTGCTACACTCAGGTGAAGGTCATCAAGTTCTCCTACATGTGGACAATCAACAACTTTAGCTTCTGCCGCGAGGAGATGGGCGAAGTGCTCAAGTCCTCCACATTCTCCGCGGGGACCAATGATAAGCTGAAGTGGTGCCTGCGCGTCAATCCAAAGGGCCTGGATGAAGAGAGCAAAGATTACTTATCGCTATACTTACTACTAGTCTCCTGTAACAAGACCGAAGTACGAGCTAAATTCAAGTTTTCAATACTTAATGCCAAACGCGAAGAAACCAAAGCAATGGGTAAGTTCAATGTCATCGGTGCCTGCAACAGCAGCAGAGGCAGCAGTACTACTCTGCTCTGCCAACGCCATCATCGCCACTGTCCTGCCGCTGAAGCCGGCCTGTCACCGCTCTTCAATGTCATCTAATTGTGTGTTTGTCTTTCTTCACCATAATAGAAAGTCAGAGAGCTTATCGATTCGTTCAAGGCAAGGACTGGGGCTTTAAGAAGTTTATTCGCCGTGACTTTCTCCTTGATGAAGCCAATGGCTTACTTCCTGACGACAAGCTAACACTTTACTGTGAGGTAAGAGCTTCGTCTTTGTCGTGTCATTTGGTATTTGCATCATTGACTAATTCTTGTACACTTCTATTCCCCGGCTTTCAGGTTAGCGTTGTGGCCGACTCAGTCAACATTTCTGGCCAGACCAACTCTATTCAATTTAAGGTTCCCGAGTGTCGACTATCGGAAGATTTAGGCGGTCTTTTCGAAAGTCAAAAGTTTAGTGATGCCATTCTCTGCGTAGGAAAAGAAGAGTTCTACGTTCACAAGGCTGTACTGGCCGCAAGGAGCCCAGTGTTCGCCGCAATGTTCCAGCACGAAATGGAAGAAAAGAAACAAAACAGAGTAGAAATTACTGACGTCGATCCGGTGGTGCTTCGAGAAATGCTTAGATTCATCTACACCGGAAAGTCATCTAACCTCGATAAGATGGAAGCCGACCTTCTCTCTGCTGCAGACAAAGTAGGTTCATTTGAATGATTTTATCCAGTGCAAATAAACTAACCTTTATCGCTTTTAGTATGATCTCGAACGATTAAAAGTGATGTGCGAAGAGTCACTGTGCTCGAATTTGTCTGTAGAATCCGCAGCCGAAGTTCTAATTCTCGCCGATATGCATAGCGCAAACCAACTCAAAGCGCACGCTATTGAATATATCAACACGTAAGCTGTTTCACCCCTTTAAAGCACAACTTGACACAATTTATTAACCATTTCTTTTTCTCCTACACAGTCATGCTACCGACGTCATGGAGACGATCGGCTGGAAAGAAATGATTCGCTCCCAGCCTCACCTCATTGCCGAAGCCTTCCGGGCTCTTGCCACTCAGCAAATGCCTCCGAATTGTGGTCCACCTCGCAAACGTATCAAACAATCATAAATTTTTAAATTGATGACATCTCCTTCTTATATCATGAATTGTATACAACATGTAAATACTATGAATACACACCTAAACACACAACCACATCTTCTCTTGCAAAATAGAACACAACCGGCAACGTCACACTACCCCCTCAACAGCACCTCCAACAGTTTGATCAACACTTTATTATTATTTTACCCGTTAAATAGAAATGTTATTACAATGTATTAGTTCGCCGTTCTACGGGAGGGAGCCCCGATTCCTACCGCGTCTCTCATGTTGGCCATGTATTATTTTGCTATTTAATTCTGACCATCCTTCTGCTGTCTCTGGCAAGTGTCCTGTCCATTTCCACTAACTAAACAGACACACACCACACCACAAACCCAACACACACATCCAATCCTATCCTTTGTCCATTTTATTTTATCTCTCGCGAACGAATATGTAAGTCGTCCGAATTCTCTCTCTTTCTCTCTCTTTCTTTTCCCCTCACTCTTACTAGGTGATTTTAAATTAATTCGAAGATCTCGCTAATAATACTTTTTGTTTTTATCCGATCAATGCAGATAATAAAGAAATCAATTCTTTGCTAAATCAGGTAGTGAGTGCCTCGCAGTTATTAATTTGTTCTTAAAAGTGGACTCTNTTCTCTCTCTTTCTCTCTCTTTCTTTCCCCCTCACTCTTACTAGGTGATTTTAAATTAATTCGAAGATCTCGCTAATAATACTTTTTGTTTTTATCCGATCAATGCAGATAATAAAGAAATCAATTCTTTGCTAAATCAGGTAGTGAGTGCCTCGCAGTTATTAATTTGTTCTTAAAAGTGGACTCTTTCCAGTGCAGCACTCTCCTGCCAGATTAGTGAGATAGTGAGCGAGTATGTACGGCAATGAGCCGTACAGTGCCGCTGTCGCTGCGGCCTGTTCCTGAAGGCTCAAGAGGAGCGTGTCGAGTGCCAGTGTGAGCGTCAGTATGTGCACCAGTGAAAATGCCCAGAGACGACCATGGCATGCGCTGGAACTGGTAACTGGTGCACAGAGTTGACACCAGAGCTGAGAGAAAGGCGACAGCGGAGAGAGACTGTGAGAGAATGGGATAGGAGAATGAACAAGAGAAAGAGAGAAAGATGGAAGTGCTTTGCCATTCAAAGTATTGAGCGAGCAATTGCGTGGCGATAGAGGGCGGCAAAGTCTTTGTGCTTGTGTGTGTGTTTGAAGCGAGAGATTGAGAAGGCGAGAGCTGCGAAGAAGCTGGTTGTCTTCTGGTTGCTGCACACTGCACTGCGGCCCACTCGTGCCCTTCACCGACGCCTCATTCCTCCACCACTGAGGTCCTCGTCTCTGGCCCTCCCTGTGCACCCTCCTCTTTTACCCTCACCAAAAATACACCCATCGCCACCAGCAGCATCATCACACTTTCAGCCATCTCCAGCAGTATTTTATTGGGGCTGCCACCCCACCCCACTTTGTTTTATCATCATCTTCCTCGGTGCTGTCTGCCTGCTGTCTGCACAGCTGGTCCGGCACAGAAGCAGGCTACACCCCCAACGCCTACCATGTCGAGATGGCATCTAATCACAGCGTAAACATCACCACCCGTTCACCGAAGCAGGNCATGTCGAGATGGCATCTAATCACAGCGTAAACATCACCACCCGTTCACCAAAGCAGCAGCAGCATCGTGAGCCCACAAAAGAGGCAGCACATCAGCTGTCGATGGACACAACAACAGCTGCTTCGGCTACTGCCGCTGCCGTCGCTGAGGGCGATTCCGAAGTGGCTGGCATCGAGTTGAAGCAGTTGAAGCCCAGCGAGAACGGCAGCGGCGGCGGCGGTGGCACTGTAGACCACAGCAAACACTCGCCCAGAACAGTCCGCTCCTCAGGAGGTGGAGAGGACAACAACAACGTCAGACAGAGCGGCCAATCTGCCAGCAGCAGCACTCCACGGCACCGTACACCGGTGAAGAAGGCGGCCACTATTTGCGGCGACAACGCCGGTGACGATGAACACCACATGCACCTGCACCAGCAGCAGCCGCGTCAGACCGCCAATCAGGACGTCAGTCCGGCGAAGAAGTCTCTCCAGGAAGGAACGACTGAAACAGCTGAGAGTGCAGCCGGGCAATGTAAATAAGCACCAGCACTGCTGTGTTTGCCACCTCCGTGTGGCATCCAAGGCGATAATGATTATACTAATTGACACTCTCTCATTGTTGTTGTTACAGCAATCGACTGCGCCGGTGGTGACGGCGGCGATGAGGATAGCAGGAGAGAAGGAACGGCAGCAACAGCAGCTACCAGCAAACCAAAACCGCCTCCCCTCAAAGTAAGTGTGCTTCCCAACTGGCAACCAGTGGTGTGCACCTCGTCACCACGAATCGATATCTCCCTGCTATATGTCCGTGTGTGTGTGTTTGTGCAACACTGCAATTGGCACTAGTCATGACGTCTGTAAAGGTAGATCGCGTAGTAATTACCTATGCTGATGTAAATTGGACTCCCTAGTCACAGTGTGTGGAAGTCAGCGGCAGTTTAGTGTACAGCAGCAGCAGCAGCCGTGCACTGTTCTCCCAACAGCGTCAAGCTACCTGGTACCCACTCTCTTTGGCTGCTATCATCCTCTCTTCATTATTACTTTTACTACTGTTTTCACTACTACCACCACCACCACCACCGTAATGCTTTATTTATAGCAACAGCAGAAGCAGCAGTGTTCTTCTCCTCAACGAAAAGTACCTCTTAGATGTTGTCTGCAGCAGTAGAGTACAATAGAGTAGAGTAGAATGGAGTAGAGTAAAGTGCTCACACTACCTGTGCGCTCTCTGACGTACAGTCACCGGTGGTCGAGCTGTCTAGCTTACTAAATACTATTCGAGTGTGGGCTGCTGCTGCTTCACTCACAACTCTGCTTGCCCCCTTCCTGGCAACAGACTTTCACTGTCTCTGTCTAGACACTGGCTGTAACGCGGGCTTCTGCTGGTACTGCTGGTAGTGCAGTCCAGCACTCACTCAGTCAGTCAGTCCGGGCTCTGATTAGCCATGCACCGTGCACCCGATAAGGCTGCTGCAAATNTGCTGCTGCTTCACTCACAACTCTGCTTGCCCCCTTCCTGGCAACAGACTTTCACTGTCTCTGTCTAGACACTGGCTGTAACGCGGGCTTCTGCTGGTACTGCTGGTAGTGCAGTCCAGCACTCACTCAGTCAGTCAGTCCGGGCTCTGATTAGCCATGCACCGTGCACCCGATAAGGCTGCTGCAAATGTCAGCAGCGAATGTCCCGCTCCGGCGACCACTGCCTATATCGGAATAACCATAGAAAGTAATCAACCACCGCTGTCATGCTTCCCTCCCTGCAGATAATGGACCTGAACACGAGCACCGCCAGTGCCCAGTCACAGAGTCAGTGTGACTCTGCGCCGAAGACGCCACTCACGCCGGGACCGTCCTCGGCGACGGCCGCCGAGTTTGCCCGCAAGCGCCAGGCAATGGACAAGGAGCGCAAGATTGGCCACCGGCGGGTGGACGAGGAGGGCCAGGTGACCTACAAGAAGATCCAGACCAGCCAGATCATGGGCTCCATTCAGCTGGGCATCGGCCACGCCGTCGGCTCGCTCGCCTCCAAGCCGGAGCGCGACCTGCTGATGAAGGACTTCATGGAGATCGAGACGGTCGCCTTCAGCAAGGAGGGCTCCAACACCACCCCCGCCCACCACTACAGTGACTTCAAGTTCAAGATCTACGCGCCCACTGCTTTCCGCTACTTTCGTGATCTGTTCGGCATTCAGCCGGACGACTTTCTCCTCTCGCTGTGCAATGAGCCGCTGCGCGAGCTCTCCAACCCCGGTGCCTCGGGCAGTGTCTTCTATCTCACCACTGACGACAACTTTATCATCAAAACGGTGATGCTCAAGGAGGCAGAGTTTCTGCTGAAGCTTCTTCCCGGTTACTACATGGTAAGTCAGATTGACCCTACGATTGCCTTCTTCGATTTATCATCTTTTCTTTTTCAACCCAGAATCTAAATCAAAACCCTCGTACTCTTTTGCCCAAGTTTTTCGGGCAGTACTGCTACATTTGCGGCGGCAAGAACGTGCGCATCATCACCATGAACAACCTCCTGCCGAGCACCGTGAAGATGCACCAAAAGTACGACCTGAAGGGCTCCACCTACAAGCGAAAGGCGGGCAAGTACGAGCGGAAAAAGGAGTCACCCACCTTCAAAGACCTCGACTTTATTGAGCACCACCCTGAGGGCATCTACCTCGAGTCGGAGACGTACAGTGCGCTGATCAAGACGATGACCCGAGACTGCCGCGTCCTGGAGAGCTTCAAAATTATGGACTACTCGCTGCTGGTGGGCGTGCACAATCTAGATCAGGCGAATCGAGAGCGGGAGGAGCGGCAGCGGGAGCAGGCGAATCACTACGCAGAGATGGCCGCCGCCGAGCTCAGTCAGACCAGCTTCGAGCAGGCGGATCCGCCCAGCATCAGCAATGATAACTCGATGCTGACGAGGACAAAGTCGGTCAACAAGCAGCGCATTGCCGCCTTCTCCACCGCCCTCGAGTCCATCCAGGCGGACATTGACCCCATTGACCAAGAGGAAGATGTTCCGTAAGGACACATTTTGGTGGTGCTGAGTGTGTGTAAACATTATGCTGAAAAGTTTTATTTTTTTAAACAGACCCGGTGGCATTCCCGCTCGCAATGAACAAGGCGAGCGACTCCTTCTCTACATTGGCATCATTGACATTCTGCAGAGCTACAGATTCAAGAAAAAGCTGGAACACACTTTTAAGGCGATGCTTCACGATGGTGTACGTTGCTGTAGCAGCTGGTGGCCGCCAAACTCTGGTTTCTCCCTTTCTCACTTGTTTGCCTTTTTTATTTTCCCCCTCCCTCCTCTACCTTACACAGGACACGATATCGGTGCACAAGCCCGGATTTTACGCTCAACGTTTTCTAGATTTTATGAGTAAAACAGTGTTTAAGAAGATTACTTCTCGTAAGTGCACATTTTAGCTGTAATAAATTAGTGTTTTAGTTTTTTCAGTTTTATATCTGGGTTGTGTATTCCCTTTCTTCTTCTTCTTGGTCCTCTTCTCTTCTTTTCTGTTCCTCTCTTCGTTCGTTTACCACTACCACCACTAACACTCCTAACTGTTGACTATTTTCTCTCGTTTCTCTTTCCTCTGAACCTCTATCCTCTGTCCAATCTCTCTCTCTCTCCATTCTACTTCTACCACTGTCCCAGTTGACCTGCCCGAAATCAAAGGCCCTCATCGAAAGTTTCGCACGTTGGTCTCGAGTTACATAGGCCTAGGTATGGCTCCTTCTGCTCACGCCACCTGTAAGCCCTAACATTCCTCATTCTTTCTTTGTCTCTCTCTTTCTCTCTTTATTGTCTGTCTCTCCTTTGACCACTACCGTATCATTCTTGCCATGGTTCAAATCAATTGGTCTTGTCACTCCTCACTTCCTCAAACCTCTTCTCTTTTATTGCCTGTCTCTTTCTCTCTTGTTTTCATTGCTCGGGTCTGTCTGTCCACTGTCCGGGGGCACTATTCTTTCTTTCTCTCCCACTTCCACAACCCACAACTTTCACTCTATCCAATGCCTTCTTTCTGCCTTCCTTTCATTCATTCATTCATTCCTACCATGCCTGGTTGTCCTTCTGTGCGGGGCCCTAAAACACACACAGCCTTGAAACCGCCAAATAAGCGAAATAAGTCACAGATTACTGCTCGGCAGAAATCCTCGTCAATATCTGGTGAGATATCTGGTCTCGGTGCTTCAGTGTGTGTGTGCCTTCTCTTGTATATACCGTCTTGCTACTGTCGTGCTTGTGTAACACTGCCTTTTACTCTGCTTACTTTGCTTTCTAATCTTAAAAAATNATGCCTTCTTTCTGCCTTCCTTTCATTCATTCATTCATTCCTACCATGCCTGGTTGTCCTTCTGTGCGGGGCCCTAAAACACACACAGCCTTGAAACCGCCAAATAAGCGAAATAAGTCACAGATTACTGCTCGGCAGAAATCCTCGTCAATATCTGGTGAGATATCTGGTCTCGGTGCTTCAGTGTGTGTGTGCCTTCTCTTGTATATACCGTCTTGCTACTGTCGTGCTTGTGTAACACTGCCTTTTACTCTGCTTACTTTGCTTTCTAATCTTACAACTTTACTAAACTTAATTGCCAGCTACTAGTGCTTGCTAGGATGAATGCATGAAACCACTGCCTGCCTTTTCAAATACCCAAAACTTATCTTTTCTTCTTCTTCTTCCTCGCCATTCAGGTCCCGGGCCGACCAGTAAGGTTAATAAAGCCTCGGCGCAGCACATGCCACCTCACCGCTACCCACTGGACAACTCTCGGTACCTGCGCACGGCGGTGATCAAGCAGGCGGCCAACAAGCAGTCTGTCATTCTGGAGAATCAGTGAGTGATCAATTTTTTCAGTGTTCGAAACTCCCCCACCACCACCTTCACCTTCACAAGAGTGAACTTAGCAGCAGCCGCATCAGCACTGCCGCGCTTTCCCCCACACCTTTGATTTGCTTTGATGTTTGAGCAGTGCTTGATTGTTGTGTGCTTACGCCCCCTCCTCCTCCTCCCCCTAGTGCCAGTAACGCCGAGCATAATAACGAGCTGAGCGTGACCAGTAGTTGCGCCTCATCATTCACCTCCTCTGGCCTTGGCTCTACGCTTCGCACCGTCACCTGGACACCGCCTCACAGTATTGGAACTGTCACGCCCAGTCACACTGAAGGCACTCCCTCGCTGACTGAGTCCAGTGAAAGCGAATGTAAATGTCATTCTTTATATCTTACTTTCTAAACTAGATACTCTAAACTCGCTCTCTCTTTCTTTAGCTGAGTGCATGCCTGCAGAGAAAGGCCCTAGGCAATCGGTAGAGACTGCTAACCCTAATTCGCTCTTGTCCTCCTCGCCCTCCTCTCCCTCAGATTGCCCGAACACGCCGGCACGAAGTCGCAGCTCAACGAGGTACTCCCGCTCAACGCTGGCCGATGAAGCGGAAGCAGGTGGTGACGGCGAAGTGGTATGTACCATCATTGGCCACTAAAACTGACTTTCCGCTCTCTATCTTTCTGACCGATCTATGCCGCGTATGTCTAACCTTTCCAACTTTGCACTTAACACACACCCCCTACTTTCAGTGCATGTTTCCGTCATTGCATGTGATTTTTATGAGGTAGTATGACCCCTTTCTCTTTGAAATTTGCTTGAGAACATGGACTACACACCTTTCAGTGGTGTTTCCTCTGCTAGATAGAGTACTTTTGGCTTCTTCAAGTACACTCCCCAGGAACAGTGGCTTCCCTCCCCTACCTGAAAGTAGCCTAGCACTTTGGTCCTTATTTTTCATTTATCGCTTAGCACAACACACAGTTTGCCTTTGGCAATTTATAGTTTTAATTTTGTTTTCTGTTTTCTCTCTTTCTCTCTTGTTGGCTCAGTTGGCCAGAGAGGTTGCCGTCGCCAGCGGTAGTCTTGGTCGTCCGCCAGCTGGCCACCTGACAGCAGTCTTGACCACCATCAGTGAAGATCGACCTTCGTGATTGCTGCCTGTGTGTGCCTCAGTACTGCATTTTCTTTCTCACTTCTTCTTGTTCTGATTCAGTGTCGATGCATACCAGCAAGAGTTAAACTCGATATACTTTGCTTGGTCTCCTAGTTTGTCATCTCTCTCTCTCTCTCTCTCTCTTACTAACTCAGCCAATCTTATGTTCATTCATTTCTTATCTTTGTTCATTCGTTGCATTTCTTTTCTACTTCTTCATTCATTCATTACCACTTATCGNGTGAAGATCGACCTTCGTGATTGCTGCCTGTGTGTGCCTCAGTACTGCATTTTCTTTCTCACTTCTTCTTGTTCTGATTCAGTGTCGATGCATACCAGCAAGAGTTAAACTCGATATACTTTGCTTGGTCTCCTAGTTTGTCATCTCTCTCTCTCTCTCTCTCTCTCTCTCTCTTACTAATTCAGCCAATCTTATGTTCATTCATTTCTTATCTTTGTTCATTCGTTGCATTTCTTTTCTACTTCTTCATTCATTCATTACCACTTATCACTTGACCTTGTACGTGTATTAACACCACTAACACCACCCCTTGATATTCTGATCGGTTGTCGTGTCCAAGTTTCTGTCGTCCTAGTTTAACTTCCTACTTACTACCACAGTTGCACTGTTCTACTAACCATCTTGCAAACAACTTTAACAGCCCAAACTGATTTGTCACCATTTGTTCCTCCTCCCTGGTCCCTTCCTCCCTCTCCCTTTTCTCTAGACCCGTCTCTGAAGCAATAACTCTATCTCTATCTCTCTCTCACTCACTTTATGAGTACTCAATATATCCGTTGCCAACTACAGCCACCAACTACACTCGCCAAAAAACACAAACTTACTCACTCACTCACTCACACGAGACATTGAACACTCCAGTAACAATCACTTCCGACAGCATTGACATCATCCTGGAGCTGTAATACACTGAAACTCGCCCAAAGTTTGCTTGTCACCCAAATCTCAGCCAGCAACGAAATCCCCCAAAAAGCCAACAGGCAAAGGACAGCCTTGCACCAAACCGTTCTCTCTATCTATCACTCACTCACTACCACCACACCCACCTTCCACACATGATTGCTTATTTTTATGATTTCCTCTATTTATTTATTTTATTTTATTTATTATTTATTTACCCTCTCATCATCTCTATCATCACCATCACCACCACCACTTTTTTCTTTGATCGGCATCTACTACTACTACCACTCATCAATAGACTGCGAAACTCCATTTTCTCCTCTCCTCTCTCACTTTCTCTGCAAATGGCCATAATGGCCCCTTCACTGTGTAACCCATTTTGATAATAACTTTGATGATTGTCCCCTTGCGTCGGCCATATTAGGCGCTAATGCTGTAGTCATGCCATTCCGGTTGCAATACGGCGCTAGAGACAAACAGGCGACACCAAACACAAACACAAGCACAGACACACACTTTCAGATCTGCACGGCGACGACGACCGGGGACGACAGCATGCACACACAGTCTGCTGCAATACTCATTCTAACAGTATCTCACACGCCCCGAATTGACATTCAGGACAGACTGATAATGGCCACTACTATTTGCCCTCCAGTTTTATCAAATGGCCATTCTTTCCAATCTTTCACAGCACACACACAGAGACACACCTTAAACCGACTGTTACGCCGATGACTTTTCTCTCTCTCCTTCTCTTGTTGTTACTGTTAATACGCTGACATTTTCGTGGTATGCTATAGTCCCTCGCTATCTATATCTTTCACTTCTTCACCCTCTGCAGTGATGCTGTTGATGCGCATCGTCTTTTTTTCCTGTCAATAGCTTTAACAAAAAACCACTCGCTGTGTAAATTGTTACCCTCATCCTCTTCCTCCTTCTCTTTTTCCTTCTCTTCTTAAACTGAACTGAACTTCTTTCCCTTGGATTGACTGCTCTTGAGCGATGATGATAATAAATTGAGAATATGTTTCCCTGTTGTTGTTGTTGCATTGGCCGTTGCCGCTGAACTTCACTGTCAGCAATACATTGCTCTGATTCTCGCTGCTGCCTACTCACCGATCTACTGTGAGCATCAGTGGCGCATCAGTGCACTCGCCAGTGAAGCTGGGGCAGGAGACAGGCACGTGAGAGTCAGTGAATGCCACTGACACTTTCCAAGCAGTACTAATAGTTATTATTCTGGCTGCTGAGGGCTGCTGAGTTTATTGACTCGACCTGGCGCACTGAACTTAATCTCTCAGACGGTACTATGGTTGGGGGTGATGGTGATGGTGGTGGTGGTGATGTGCGCCACGGAGTGACTGCGGACAGCGCCAGCGGGAGCAGTGTACGTTTGCCGCTTCTTCTTCTTCTTTTCTTTTTCCAGTCCTTCGCCATGGCCGCCGTCCTCTCTGCCGCCTGGCAGTGAGCTCTGTCTTCGTCGTCGAGGTCGTTGCAACGACAGCAGTTCCGCAAAGTCGATACGCAAAGTCTTTGCCTCCTCCGCTGTTGTTGTTGTTGCCACATGTTTCTCCCGTGGGTGCCTTCCCTTGCCTACTGCTACATGCTAATTCCAGGGTGACTGTGTGAGTGAGTGATTGGAAAGGCCAGAGAGTATTGCTTCGGTTGCTGGTGGTGGTACCCTTTTGTCAGGGAGAGTCACTGCACCAGTACATTCCGTCCTCCACTGGTCCGTCGCGTGCCGTGATCGACTGAAATTGAGACACCGTCACCGTGAGCATGTACTGCACTGCAGTGACAATGAACAATGGCAGTGGGCAATGGTTGTCGAGCCCGATGAGCTTTCCATCTC